GGGGGGGGGGACGGACTAAATTGGGAAGCGTTTTTGCTGTGCCGCCGCTGGGCTCCTGAGTCAGTGGGCTGTGACTCACGGGGGGCCAGACCCCTGCTCACATCTGGAGATCTGATGATCAGCTGCCGGACAGTGTTCAACTGTAAACCTTTATTAACAATGGTGTCAGGGTGATGTAAAAATGGTTCGTATTTAGCCGGTCACTTTATAAAAATATATATATTTGGGGCTCACCTGGTAGAGCAGGGGCCCTTGTACTAAGGCTGGTTCCTTAACAGGGGCCTTATCTGTCCCCCCCCCCTTTCCGTCTATCTTCAGCTACACCATCTAAAAAAAAGAAGGGAAAAGCCCTACTATTTGAAGTTAGTTTTCAACACAGATATAATGAAAAAATAATGACAAATTATTCTGAAATAATATTTTAATTGAAAACCATGAAGGAAGAAAACACAGAACATGTTTTTAGAATTAGCTTGGAAATATTACAGGCAGCTTGGAAACGCCAAATATCTACAGGAAGACACCCTGGATGTTGTTCACACTAGTTAAGCATTCAACACGATGATTTATAAATTTAAAAAAATAAGAGCCTTTAAGAAATATTAAAACAAATAAAAAAATGGAGAAAATTTAAATGAAGGAATATTGCCAAAAAAAACATTGCAGCAAATGGTTTCAGTTCTTTAGTGCAAGCAGGAAAACATGCTGTGGCTCCATATCACAGCAAACTAGCAGAAGTATAAAATAAGTGCTCAATACTGATATGTGTTCTCATTTTTGCTCTTCATTCAAGTTCAGGTTGTAGAGCAGTGAGACTCTTCTCTTCTTCTTCTCATAAAAGTATGTGAAGCCTGATTTGTAAAAACTTCTATCGGCTGAAAAGGCTGTCCACATTTCTAGGTCAATGCTGACTGTGCTGCTCCGAATGAGCTTGCTGTACCTGTGGGTGGCTGACTGCCAGAGGCTACAGATCAAGGCATTAGATAAGGAGAGCAGTAGATTACATTTAGTAGACCTGAAGGCCTCTAGCGATGAGCAGGCTCAGTGTGTGTGTGAGCTACAGAACTGAGGATTTCCTATTACTCAGACAGGATGCAAAAAAGGTTTATCAGTCTTGTTTCAAAAACATCTTGTATGAATCTCATTATCCTAAATTCTAATTGGGGATCAATCTGATCTGTGTATTCTAATGCTGGTATTGTGTGCTTCCAAGCAACCCTTAATTACAAATCTCAGTGACATCCAGAAACAGCCTGCGACTTCACACTCACTCGTCCTCTTCTCTGCATTATTTCCTAATCAGTTTTCTCACAGTGACACGTCATCAGACATCACTCAGGTATATTTCATCCTGAGTCCCTGTGTCCCTGCTGTGAGGGGTATCTGTGTCTGCAGCTCACCAACCGTGCGTAGGGTGCCTGGGTGTCACCCGGGGAAGGATGGGGGGGTAAGGGTGACTCCTGAAGTTACGCCTCCCCCTCCTCATACAGTGATCATCTTGTCTGGAAGGAGGAAGGAGCTTCAAACCTCCACCTGGACACAAAGACCACAGTCATTATGTTTTACTGCTGGACCATTGGCATTCATGAGATAATGAGCAGCTTTCAGTTGATGTTGTTACTTACATAGCATCCTCTCCACAAGGGTGTGGATCTCTGCCCATGGGAAACATTAAACAAGAATCTTGATTGGAATCATTGTGTGAATGTATGATGCACCACTTAAAAAATATCTTTGTCTAAAGCTGCACCAACGTCTTATTGCCGATTTTCATTAGTTCATTTGGGGAGTTGGCCATTAACTCCCAGTCACATAAAACCAGTACATCATGTCATTGGAACATTGGAAGAAATCTCTTTCCAATCGTAGGCTAAGTATTGAAAACTGTTGGGTGAACAAGTCAATGTTTTCCCTATAGTCAAATTCCTCAAATGTATCCATCATTTGTATCCTCATTATGTGGCCTGGCCTCTCCACACACCAAGCACGGAGATAGATCGTTTTTTTACAACAATTCAGTTTTTTCAAACCTAAAATAATACAGGAGAAAATCTAATGTACGTATGTGTGTTGTAAAAGTATCAAATAAAACAGGAAAACGAATGGCATCATAATAAGATTATTGGACAGTTTAACAATGAAGAGATGGATAGGAAACTCTGATTCCAGGGAACTTAATCTGGTGGTTTTTCTGAGGAGCCTGCCTCATCTGGAAATAAACGTATACATGGCATGGCTGGCTAAGACATGTAGTAACTCAGAACCAAGTTCAATCACTTGGTTCAAACACTAAATACCAACATTGATGAGTGAATGTTTTCGAAGTTCTGCCTAATCCATATATTGTCACATTTCTTGGAGTTGCATGGGGTACAGGGAAATAAACAAAGGTCTGTTTTGGAACATTACATGGAGCTTTAATATATTTTTATTATTATTTTCTATGTCAACTGTTGTTACAGAGTTATTGACTGATGGTACATATTATAGAAGTGAGTTGAGTTGGTCAGTACAAAGCAAATGTATTTACTGAGCACATGAATGAGGAGGGCCTTGCTGGGTAATGCAAACGTCTCTGTGCCACATCCTCACAGTGCCTCAGTAATGCTACAGCTGACACCATAACAATAACAGAGAGAAAGCGTCATACCTGGACTTAACATGGAGTCGTCCTGTGACAAGGGGGCTCTGGCCTGGGGATGATCTCGCTGTGAAAGCCACGG